CGGAAGCAGCACAAGTAGGGGAGTGTGAAGGATCTCCGATACAGCCGTTCGTCTATCATGACATACTTGGCTGTCTAGTGCTCTACCCTTCTGGTCGCGTTGCAATCTGCAGGGAGCGACCTCTTCTGCGCCCCCGAGAATGCTGGGCCGAGGTAGGTTCTCTATATACACGGTCCTCATGGTGTTGCACCTCGTGCTGGCTAACCGGGACAAGGCATCGGCCTCAGCGTTCTAGGACCTTGGAACTACCTGATGAAATAAGGCTAGAAGCTGCGTAGAACTTCATTGACCTTGGCTAGATAAGCAACCATGGTGGGGTCACGAGATTCATAATCGTCGGTGACCTGGTTGACCACGAGATGGGAATCACTATAGATGACGGTGTGTTTTGCTTGTACTTCATTCGCTAGAGTGAGCCCAGCTATCAGTGCTTCGTACTCCGCTTCATTATTAGATGCTACGAACTCAAACCGAAGTGTGTACTCCAGCTTCACCCCGCTTGGACCGTACAGATAAATGCCGGCTCAGCTTCCTTGTTGATTAGATGAGCCGTCTACGTGGAGTATCCAGGGCTCCTCGTCCCAGGTCGGCCTTGCTCTAACCGGGACTGGTGCCGCACTAGTTGAAGCTTCCTCTTTGTGCTCGAGCTCAATCAATTTAAGGATCGCGGTGTTGAAGGTACATTCTGCAACGAAATCGGCCAAGGCTTGGGCTTTAATTGTCGTCCGAGTCTCGTACTGGTTGTCGTACTCGCTGAGTTCGATGGCCCACTTCATTAGAGGTTTGTTGGTGAGGACGATGACGGTCTGGGCTTGGAAGTACGGACGAAGCTTCTGAGCTACTATGACCAGCGCGTACGCCAGTTTCTCGATCTCCGGGTATCTTGTTTCGACATCCTGCAAAACTTTGCTAACATAGTAGATAGGTCGTTGGACCCAATCTATTTCTTTTATCAGTACCGAGCTGACCACCTCATCACTCGCGGAGAGGTACAATTTTAAAACATCTCCCTCCTCGGGTCGGGTTAGAATCGGGATGCTAGCTAGGTATTTCTTTAGCTTGTCGAAGGTGAGCTGGTATTTTTCGGTCCATTCAAAGTCTTTACTTTTCTTGATTGCCTTGAAAAAAGGCAGGCAACGATCTGCCGATTTGGACATGAAGCGGCTCAGAGCGGCTATACGACCGTTCAGCCTCTGAACCTCCTTTAATTTATGAGGTGGCCTCATATCTAGGATGGCCTCCTTCAATTTTCTTTGGGTTGGCTTTGATGCCACGTCAGTTGACTATGTAACCCAAGAGTTTTCCCGAGGTGACACCAAAGACACACTTGTTAGGGTTTAGTTTCATATTATACTTGCGCAAAATTTCAAAAACACATTGTAAATCATTTATTGAACATTTTAAAAACTGGGTCTTAACGACCATATCATCTACATAGCAGTAAACCTTATTGCCGATCAATGGCTCAAAGATTCTGTTTACAAGTCTTTGGAAGGTCACCCCGGCATTTTTTAGCCCAAAGGGCATGACCTTGTAACAATACAATCCCAGCTCGGTTATGAATGCCGTTTTTTCTTCGTCGGCAGGGTCCATCCTGATTTGGTTGTATCCTGAGTATAAATCCAGGAAACTCAACAACTCGTGCCCTGAGGTTGCGTCCACTAGACGGTCGATCTTAGGGAGTGGGAAGCAATCATTCGGGCAAGCTCGATTCAGGTCGGTATAATCGACGCACATGCGCCATTTACTGTTGGCCTTCTTTACCAGATCCCCCTGCCGATCTGTCTGGTTTTTATTTTCTTTTTGTACAAAATTTTTCAAGTATCCGCGACAGATGAGTTCTTCGATCTCATCGCGGAGATTTCTACAGTTTTCGGTACTATGACCGTGATCTTTATGGAAATGACAATATACATTTTTGTTTCTAGTGGCGGGATCTCCCCTTAACCGAGGTGGCCACTTCACATAGGAGGCGTCCTTGATCGCCATGAGAATTTCTCCCCATTTCGTGTTGAGGGGCATGTAGCTCGTCCTTTCAAACGGAGGAGTTCGGGAACACCGATCTGACTTGTTTCCTCCCCTAGTTGGGGACTTTCTCTTTCTTCGTTTGTTGCCACCACTGTTCGAGTTGTCATCTTCTCTTTTTCTCTTCTCCATTGGGGCTTCATTCTTCTAGTTCATCTCCTCTTCGGTCCCAATGAACTAATCGACAAGCTTGAGGAATTCGATGATGTCTTTGGGCATGTTTGCCACTATGTGCCACTTGAATTCCCTATGGGTAATACCCTTCTTTGCTACCGTGAGTTACAGCGGCATCTAGGTCAGAGATCTGCAAACAAGTGTCGTTGAAGCGTTTGATGTAGCTTCGGATCGACTCCCCTTCTCTCTGTACTATGCTGAGGAGACTTTCTTGTGACCTCGGGCACTTCTTGTTGGTGATGAAGTGTGAGGTGAACATCTGTACCAACTGCGACCAACTCTTGATCATCCCTGGCGCGAGGTTTTTATACCATGTGCGAGCTACTCCTTTGAAGGTCGTAGAGAAGGCAACGCACATGCAGGATTCGTCAGCCCCAGGTAGATGCATCTGGGGCTGGAACGAGTCTACATGATCATTTGGGTCGAACGACCCATCATACTTATCTAGCGGAGGTACTTTGAAGTCCTTCGACATCGGGGTCGCCAGGAGCTCGGAGGACAAAGGAAATGACCCAGAGAGGAGGGGAGCGGTCTTTGTGGCTTTCGAGCTCGCCTCCTCTTTACCTTTAGGGTGCTCGAGCTGACTAGGTCCAGCGAGCTGGCTTGGAGCTACAGTTCGACGTGCCTTAGGACGCCGCCTTTGCTGCTTCTTGACTGGCTCTGCATTGGTGCTGCTGACCTCTATGTTGTCGGGCATTGTCCTAGCATGGAGTGGTTCGGACTGCCGATGCTGGCTGCTGTGAACAGAGGGGCCTCGCCTGGAGTCCGCGGTTAGAACTCCGAACTGGTTCCCTGCAAGCGAACCTTCCTGTTGCAAGGGCCGAGGTGAAATAGCTCTGGCGGGCTGAGTGTCTCCCGACCTGTTCACTTGCTGCGAGGCAGGAGGAGTAACTTGCCTTTCCCTCCTACCGCGGGATGAGACCTGGCTCTCGAGAGGATGCTGAATCTGGGAAATCTATCCCCAGCGAGGAGGGCGAGTGTTCTGATGATGAGACTTGTTCTGTTGTGCTGCCGAATGCCGAGGTGATGTTGAAATTGCTGGACCTGTTGCATTTGGGCTTGAATAGCCCATACGCAGTGTACCAGGTCATCGAGCTGATGCTGTCCGACTCTAGGGGGAACCACAGATGGTTCAGCAAAAGTTGCACCCACTACAGGAGGAGGTGGGGCGTTCACTGGCATAGTTGCTTGAGGCACAATCAGCGTCGGGATCCCATCCGCGGAGAGCGGTATGGTAAACTGACCGATGCACATAGTCGGAATCTGAGGTTGCCCCCCGAAGACATTCATTTCACCGTTCTGTCTGGCATTGCTAGAGGATGTCATTGATTATGAGTTTCCGATTTTTGGTGGAAAGAGGCTTCTCGTAGCACTTCCCACAGATGGCGCCAATTGATTTAGTGCGATTTGGCTGCTCCCAGTTGGAGGTGATCTGGCTTCTAAACAGACGATGGACTGAACCTGCAAGGATATCAGAGAACCCGGGGGTGCTAACCCGACGAGGTCGCTCCGATGCTTAAGTTAGTAGGCTAGTAGCGAGCTAAAATTGCTTGAAAGTAGAGAGCTTGAGAGCAGGAAAATCACGCATACCTTGCACCCCTGGGGATGGAGCCTCTATATAATGGAGTCCTCGCGAGTTTTGTGGAGTAGTTCCAGAATCCTCGTCACAATGAGATCTATTTCTGCGATACTGGGACATAGTGCTGCCAACTGATAGGGTTTATCGAGTCCGCCCGAATCGCTTGTGGGAGATAACGCTGGCTGTTATGCGGCGTGATCCCGTGAAGTCCGAGACCATCGGAGGGATTTTTGGGATCCTCACAGTGGCACGTCGGTATCTCCGAGCTGACGCCTTTAAGTCCCGAAGTGGAGTGAATATCGAAGTGACTTGGCATCGAAGTTTTCTCGTTGCGATCTAGTACTGAGGCGATCTCATTTCGGGGTGACCATGTGAACTGCTTGTCATTCCTCTTGTCGTTGACATCTGATACAGACGCACCGTCGATTTCTGCTCTTCTTCTCCCTCCGAAGTCCTTGTCAATCACCACTGCCAAAAACTCTTGCATGCCAACCAAGAAAGCGACCTTTTGCAGCTAAGCCTGCTATGTTCCGATCTCCCCTCTCTTGCAGCAAGATACACGTTCTCATGTTCCCTGGTTCGTCAACGAAACTAGAAAGAATGATTAGCCGCTCCTCGCTTCAACAAGCTTATCTCGTGCTGGCTCTAGCACAAGTGCATTTGAGTAGCGGATGAGAGAGGGTAACATCCAGGTTCAGGAGAGGGGAGTGGCAAATGGCAATACCCGGTTCGGACAGATTTACTCACTGAGCGAGTCCAGCTGGTTTGTTCCACCAAAAAAATGTCCATCTGGTTCTGGTTCAATACCCATGTTAATGTAGTTCAGGAGTCAGGACTCCAGGCTCAAGATTAAAAACTGGTATGAGACCAGCCACAATAAATTAAAGCAAATTTGCTGGGTAAAATCGGTTGGTCGAGCTCGAGGAATTTCCTTACCAGTTGCTTTTTATTGGATTTCTCTCATCGTTTTTAAAAGTTTTATTCGCTGAATACGGAGGCAGAGGAGGAAGACGAGCAACAGTGTACTCACTGCCTTTATTTGATATTTTTTCCAAAAAAGCTATTCGATTTTAGTTATTATATGAAAAATAATATCGTCTGCAATAGTGCAACTCTGGTTTAAATTTGGTTGTTTCTAAGCTGAAAAGCCAACAACCCTGAAGAAAATACTGTAATCTATTTCCACTCAACAAGGTGAAATCAAGGACTGGACCCTAGCCTATTCTGCAAGGACAAAACACTTCTTATTAAATGGAATGGAAACAATAGTAACATTTCACAAGTCACAAAAACCTTTGCGCGTGAGACCAAACTCTGTTCCCATAAAAAAACAAGAAAAGGAAAGTTGTTTACTAACTTAGCACAACTTAGATCAATTAACCAAACACAGGAACAAGTTTTGGGCTTAGAATTTTTTGTTGGATTCTCCAAAGTCCAAAGGGAAATGAACACGAAAGCCAACTAATTAACAATAACATTAATTATTAAACACAGCAAAGTAAAATGGTCAAACGAAAAATAAGGAAAAGCAGATTATTCACAATATAATGTTCATAACCTTCAATTCATCTCTTACAACTTCGACTCCTAGAAAATTGATCTCTTATCCCACCAACAATCCAAGTCTCCTTTGCAATATCAGGAGATACCTTAAAGAAATCAGGAGCATAACTCATCAATATCAATTTCTCTTTCTTCTTCTTTTCTTCCAGCGCCAACTTTTCTTTGTTTCCTCCTCCTCCTCCTCCTCCTCCTCCTCCTTCTTCTTCTTCTTCTTCTTCTTCTTCTTCTTCTTCTTCTTTTCGCACTAGATCTTTCTCTTCTAGCCAGCCTTTAGCGGGTGCGGACCTACAACGCATGAGCAAGAGAGCACTCGAAGGAGGAGCGGCAGGAGCGGCATCCGATTCTGATCCTTCACCATCACAAGTCTCGTTTCTCTCCTCTCTGTACTTTTCTTCTTTGCTAAAAACATTATTTTGATTTTCTTGCAATACCATAAACCACTTTGAAAAGATAGTTCTCGAAGCATCACCACTATCATTTTCCTCTGTACTCGCTTGGCTTTCTTGCTTTTGTTGATACTCTTCTTCTTCTTCTTCTTCATCTTCTTCGCCATCAGAAGTGACGACTGAGCCATGAAAGGAACCAAAGCACCGTAAATGGAAGCGAAAGCTTCGTAAACAAGTCAAAATCTGCATTATGTCTTTCCTGAATCCGAGAGTCTCTAGCCAAGTGGGGCTCTTCTTCTTCTTCTTCTTCTTCTTCTGTTTTCGCCTGTTGTGAAGTTTCTCGATGCCTTCCATGACTGTTTGCCAGTTGTTACAGGAACTCGATGTGGGCCTGACTCTGATCTTGCCGGCGCATGTGACTTTTGGAGAGGTGGGTTCGGCGATCTCCGAGCCCGTGGTCTTGGTTTTGGGCCAAAGGAGAGGGCTAGCTTGGCCAACCCTGTTTCTAGACCTTGTGAGAAGATGGTGATGGCGCTTGGTACTGCTACTGCTAGTAGACTCATTCGACCGCGCTGGACTGCAAATGGGCTTGGGCATAAGGGTTAGATGGGCTCGAGAAGGGAAGCAGACTAAGAGGTCTGCTGGAGGAGTTCCTTTGCCTTCTCTTCTTCTCATGGTGTTTCTTCTTCTTCCTCTAGCTCTTTCTTTCTGTGTTCTCTCACAACTGTTGTATTTGCAGATTTCTATGGTTTTGGATGATGTTAGCGTGTTTGTTTTTAAAAGGAAAGAGAGAGAGAGAGATTGAAAGCTTTTCTTCTTTCCTTTTGCTTTTGTTTGTTTTTTTTTTTTTAGCTTTGTAGAGGATGTCACGGGGGAGCTTTCTTTCTGGGCCTCGCCTTTTGTTTCGTTTGCCAACCAAATAAAATAAAGAAAAGTTACTAAAGCCCAGGAGGCTTGTTTCATGGTCCAATCATACCCACCCGCTACTTGTGAGTCTCAAATACTCGTTTTTGTAATCAGCCACCTTCCCCCCACCCAAAATTAAATAAAAAAACACGAAATAAAGGAATAAAAAGTAATTAGCTACCCAAGAACTGGTTAATGAATAAGAGATTAAGAGGTAACATTTAAAGAAGACTGCTGAGAAGGTAATTTGTTGTAATTTTGCACGTTGTCTGGTTAAATTTTAGTGTGTGTAATGTGTATGTGTGTGTGAAAGAGAGAGAATTGATTAAAGCAAGGATGCCATTATAAAAAAGGAGGGGTGGAAGCGTGGAATGCAATTGAGAGTATGGGGGGATGGACTCCTCGATCCCACTATGTTTTGCGGTGGATTAGACATATTACCTTTGTAGGGGACCTTCTGCGAAGAGGGACTACCAACTTGATGATTGAAATAATTAATAATTCATTAGAGATGGTTAGAGAATTCATACCACCAGATTGATTACCTTGTTAAGAATAATTAGCCCAATTAGAAGAAGAAAAAATTAAAAGAAGAAGGGCATGCAATAATGCATAATCAAACATCAGAGTCAAACAGTGCAGAGTGTGGAACCAGTGACAATAATTCTACTAGTGTCTTAATTGTTTCCTTAGATGATCTTCTTCTCTTACAGCAGGAACCAGGGTACCAGTCTAGATAGCTATCTTTAAGAGTTGAGATAGAAGAGATACGCACAGAGGCTATACTAGTAGTAGCTTTTGCGTGCTCACCTGCATCAGTAAGCCTGCCTTGCTAAGGAATGACAAAAGAAAAGCTTTAGTTTTTGAGTCGGCTTTGGGTATTACTTTTTGCTTTTAGAGATATCAAAAGCCATGCGGGCTGCGGGCTGCGGGCCCGAGAAAATGCAGGCCTAAGCTAAAGAGAGATGGAAAGACGAGATTGAGATTCCTAGAGGCATCATTATTCGAATTCAGAAATTGTTTACCCTCTCCACCCTGTCTAGCTATCTCTATCTTATCTGGGACTACTGGCCGAGTGGATATTCCAAGTTTACAGCTGAAGCAACTTGGAATGTTCCAAACACCAGCTGACATACCCTTTTTTCATGTTTTCCTCAAATTTAATAATTAAAAAGAGGAGTTTCTCTTCTCACTTCTCACACATGTATTTCAACACATTGTTCTCTCTACCATTTTGCCCTTCATCAATCACCATACCGTGCAATCTAGAATATAATCAATAGAATCATCTAGGACCCATCTGGACTGATGCAATGTACCACATGCATATACATATTATAACTCTTTTATTTTAACATTGTTGTTTTCCTAATTATATATCTCAGATACTTATTTGATAAGAAACTCTCAACTAGTACTTTAAAGAAATAGAAAATATAATTCTAACAAGTAAGTTTCTAGCTAGTATATATACCTGCAATCTAGAATATAATCTATAGAATATATCCAATGCTTAAAATATGTGTTTTAAACACCGTTGAGGATATTATTCAACTCCCCTCTTTATGCTCTTTTCTATATTCCTTCCAATCAGTCCTTTTAGTTTTCAATTAATGAGATAAAGAGAATTGGATGTACCCCAATAATGCAAACCGTCGTTAAGGAAAATAAATTAATAAACAAATCAAGAGATGTCTTCCAACTACCAATGAGTTCTTTTGGACCACATTGTCATTGAGATCAAGTGCTCCATTTTGATCTATCCTTGGTTCTTAATTAGTAGATGGGATGTCCATAGCATTTCAAAGGAAGGTATTTGTACTACAACGGTTTACAATTTGTGGTTGAACATTTATTATTTATTCTTTTAGAAATATACAAAAAATTAAACATCTGTTTAGACCCATTAAGGTTAGTAGATGCTTCCAATTAAGTTCTATTTCTCTGATTTGGACCCTATTTTTAAAAATTTATTTTAAATATGTAGAATCATTTCTATGAACCCTCCTAATGTTGAACCCCAACAAAGTAAGGTTCTATGAGTAATTAGGAATCCCACTTTACATTAATTTTTTTTTTTTATTTCATCTTCGAATTGAATCTGCGTAGTGTTGCTAGGCCCTAGAAGTAAATCGTGCAGTTAAATTGTTAATTTAAAATTTTAATGTATGAAAATTTGTAACCTTCAGAGAGAGAGAGAGATTCTTTAAGGACAGTGTAAAAGTTTTCTTATGAAATCAACTTCAAACAAATTGTTTTAATCAACCTTGGTAACGATGACTAATCCACTCAACAAAAAAACGGAAAAATATGAACAGCCCAATTAATGCAGATTTCTGAATTTCATTATAAACCTATAAATATTCAAAATGTCAAATGCCCCCATTCTATACATTAATACTCATCCCTAAATTGGCATCAATTCTTAATTGGCACTTACCCCTAATCCCCAACTGTATTTTGGGCGACCCTAAGTTGAACTGTCATTCTCCTTAAAACAAGAACAATGAAGGAAAGAAAACCTAAACTAAATGATGCCAATTAGTCTGCCAAAAGCTAAAAATATGAATACAAATACCCTTCTTTTTGTAGACTGTAGAGAGAGGAGATTAGTCCATCGTCATTTTTTAATCCTGATTCTTGAGGGAGTGTGACCAAAGTCAATAATGGCCCAAATTGATGCAAGGAGAAGTAATAATAATTTGCTACTAGGAATACTACCATGGTTCAGTTTTTGGTCATTATGTAGTATTCAGAGAGTACAACTGGCACTCTGGTAGGCGATCATTTTTCACATTGTCAGACTATTAATCTATGATTGACACTTGGATTGGGCAGTCCTACCATTCGTCTTTTATTTCTTACCCCAGTCCAGTAATGTAATTAGAACTGACCAGGAGAGAATTAATTTATTGATGTATTTTTTTTTTTTTTTTGAAAGAGAAAAGAGAAGCCTTTCGTTACTTGAGAACAAATTTACAGGAGGAGGAGCAGAGCACAAAAAGAAATGTCTCATCCAAGGTGGAGGGTTATGCATGTACAAATGTTTCTCTTTAGATATAGAAGCATTATATGTCATGATATGAGCTAACACATTGTTAGATAAATTGACAAAGCTTCAAAAGATGTTGCCACCTGCTTAATTTGAGCAAAAGAAGGCTTTATCCATCCAGTTGGTATAACCATCTACTGAATTTAACTTACTCACTGTGGAAGTTGCATCAACAATAAGACTTTCACTCTCTTGATTTGAAGGGATTAATGGGCCATCTAAGATGCCTGCATAACTGCTCTCCACTCTGCAACCTGAACCGGTTGCCATTCAGTGCATGGTTCTCCAACTGCTGCAATAAATTCGTTTTCTGATCAATAATAACAAGCATCATTCAGATTTCATTGTGAATCATCTGTGCAAATATGATAGAAGTCATGTAGCTGATGGAGGAAGATTTGACCCCACCCTTCGGCCATGTGACACGTGGAAGCAACCGAGAGTGACTTGGCAGAAACGTTAGATCGGCATGGCAGCAGGCCCACAACCCGAGCTCCGAACTAAAGAGCCGAGCTCCCTCATAGGAACCAGCAAACCGAGCTCCGAACTAAAGAGCCGAGCTCCCTCGAAGGAACCTGCAACCTGAGCTCCGAACTAAAGAGAGCTGAGCTCCCTCGAAGGAACCTACAAACCGAGCTCCGAACTCATGAGTTCCAAGCTCTCCCTTTGAGGTGTTGAGCCTTACAAGGAGCATCAAAGGTAGAAAACCCGAACTACCCACCTAGGGGCAGTTCGGGCCATACTCCTATCCGAACTCGAGACTTCACATTAAAAGACCACTTCGGCTCCAAATCACCTGACTAAGCAACCATACCTGACGCCCAGGAGACCGTACACGGAGGCGACGCACCTGACCGATCAGAGGACTGACACATGACAGCCRCCATCCAACGGCCACCTGCCACCGCCATCCCAGACGGACAGAGGCGGCCCTGGCAACTAGCAGTGGGGGTTATGACACCCGAATTGGCAACTGGCAGTGGAGGTTATGACACCAAACTGGTAGTTGACAGAAGGAAGTGACCCAATCTGGTAGAGGTAATGATGCCCGAATTAGCAGAGGCATGGAAGTGAGCACCCAAGGTGATTATAAAAGGCCCCCATCTCACAAAGAAGAGGGTATGTGTGATTCTTGCGTTTTCTGGTCTTAGAATTCCTCATTTCCCTTGCCTTCTGAAGAACACTAACTTGAGCTTCGGAGTGTTCCAACCGGGTTCTTCCTCGGAAGCCTCCATTTTCTTCCTTGTTTCAGGCACCTCCAATCTCGTCAGAAGCGAGGTAACTGGCAGCTAGGACAGACCGGATCGAACATCATCATTTGGCGTCGTCTGTGGGAAGACTTCAAAAAGCCTCCCCTAACCTCTAACACTCTCTCTCTCTCTCAAAGAAACCTTAGCTTCCATGGCTTCTCCCAGCAACAGTAGGCGCAATGCCGACTTGAATGCTGTAGGGGAACACCCCCAGGCTACCACTATGTGCATAGGACAGTTCACCGTTCCCCTATCGACGGACGGAATCCCTAGCCTCAACGCACCAAACATTGTGGCACCTGTGAACGTTCCCCTTCCTCTCCATATCGAGACGACCTTTGTCGAACCAACTGCTATCCCCCTGGCGACTAGCCAAAACCAGTTTGGCGACTTGATGCAGTGCATGCGGGAAATGCAAGGCCAAATGCAGCAGTTCCAGCAGCATCAGCTCCATCAACATCAAGTACTGCACCACATCTCTCAGTATCACTATCAACAACAGTTCCCCCAATTGCCTCTGAACCAACCACAGCTTCCACCTCGGCACCCCACTCCAAAGCCAGTCAAGCCCCCCCCAGGGCGGACGCCTCCACCGAGGAGAAGCCTCCCAACTTCAGAACCCTTTCAAGAGCCAGGCCTCATCCTCGGGCAGGAGAGAAAGATCAATCACCCCTGCCTCGCAGCTCGCCGGCGGATCGGGAACCTCCTTGCCAGCCAAGTCAACACCTCGGCACTCCAAGTTTGAGCTACCGCTCAAGTCAACAGACTAC